TTATTGCTATACTTAGGTGCTGAATACACTGGGGCTCATTTTACAATTCCCACCAGTTTGTGTATGTTCAAAATTTTCCAATAAAAATTAATAATAGTAATTACACTAAAACGTAGAATATTTTGAATTCTTCCTTTGCCTTTAGTGTACACACACACACACACACACACACACACAAAAGGCCTTTGCCTTTGCCTTTAGTGTGTGTGTATATATGTTTATATATATGTTTATATACACATACACTATATATAAACACCCACACATACGTATACACACATATGCACACACACACACTAAAGGCAAAGGAAGAATTCTATATATAATTATATTACATATAAATATAAATAATTATATTTATATGTAATATAATTATATATCATATTTACTACCTTTATATATAATTATTTTATATGTACATATATTAAACAGGCCAATCCACAGGAAAATAAAAGGTTGGATAAACAGGCAAAACATTTTTCTTCTTTCTTTCTTTTTTTTTTTTTTTTTTTGGAGAAGGAGTCTCCCTCTGTCGCCCAAGCTGGAGTGCAGTCATGCAATCTTGGCTCACTATGACCTCCAACTCCTGAGTTCAAGCCATTCTCCTGCCTCAGCCTCCCTAGTAATTGGGATTACAGGTGCACACCACCAAACTCAGCTAATTTTTTAGTTTTTTTTAGTAGAGACAGGGTTTCACTCGTTGGCCAGGCCCCTGACCTTAAAGTGATCCACCCACCTAGGCCTCCCAAAGTACTGGGATTACAGGCATGAGCCACCACGCCCAACCAAACATTTTTCATTTTTATACTTTTTCTAACTTTTGTCTTGCCTCAATTTTTTCTAGCCCTTCATTCATTGGTCAGGATTTATGTTTACAGCTCTGGTAATTTTCTCATTGTCTAGGGAAAGCCCAAAGCATAGTATTTTGGGATAATGGGGGTGAAAAAAAGAATTCTCGCATTAATAGTAACTAGCATTTATTCAGTGCGTGATATAGACCAAGCCCTCAAGTGCTAGGTGTTGATACACTTTATCCTCCTTGTACACCAGCTAATGAGTACACAGTCCTATTTATTATCCTGTTTTAGAGAAGACTTCATGTAACTTGACCAAGGACAAAAATTTGCCAATGGAAGATTGAGAATTAGAACCTATGTGTCTGGTCTCAAGAGCCCCTACTTATAACCACTTTGCTGTATAATATAAAAGACAACATTTGGCAAAATTTAAAGAATTTACCCAACCAAATTCATGTTCCCATTCTTTAGTGCCTGATCCTACTTCCCAGCTTCTAGTCACAATTCCTTTCTTAGATTATCATTTTTGCACTTTTGCAACTTTCTTCTTGGACTGCTTCTTGTCAATGAGTTGTTGGATCCTCTTTGTATGAATTTGCTGCAGTAACTAAATCTCTAAATTCTTACTGGCTTACAACAAAGGCATATTCCTTGCTCATGTTATGTTTCAGCTGTGGATTGACTGCACCCAAGCTGTAGGTCTGTTTCACATGTCTTCTCATTCAATGAAATAGATGAGAGAGGAAGCTTGATGGCACAGGAGAAGAGCAAGGGCTCTGTTGAAAATGTACGATGCTTCATAAGGTTTCTATGTGAAATTCATATTCCATTGGCCAAAGCACATTCCATGGTCAGGCTCAAAGTTGATAAGGTAGAATATTCACTCTTCTCCCAGGAAGCAAAGCAAGACATATGGGAATAGGAAGGAGTAATTGTTCTCTGATAAGAAAAAGATAATAAAAGTGTGAAAAGTGATTTAGTCTATCACCCTGTCTTTAATATCCATCTATTTCTCACATTATTTACTCCATACTCTTTGATCATTAGGTAATGATTTAACATGCCTCTACATTCTATCATTCTCCATTCCCTAGTTTAAGGTTTTCCTTGAATCGTACAAATACATGTCTTCAGGGTTCTTAAGTCCAACCTTCTCATCATAGAGAAAATGGAACTTCTTGTCCATTCTTATTGTAAGAACACAGGTCTCCCAAAGTGTTATCTAGTGTACTGTCCATAGTTCTCGTCAGAATGGAGAAATAAAAGTCTACCAGCTCCCAGAACTTCGGTGACCAAGGTTACATTTGGAACTAAAAAATATTGTTTAGGGTTTCATGCAAAACAAAGAACATAAACCCTATCTCATGGCCTTAAACATCTAAGGGCTCCATTTTCCTCACATGATTAAAAACCCCCGTGTAGATTGTCCTGGACTAGTACAGTCAAGAACCCAAGTTCCTTCTAATTTTCTATATCACCTACTTAGGCAATGTTCTACTTCATACTTGTATGAAATAAACTACATCTCTGGCCCCATGTCTATGTTGTACACAGGAAAAAGGGTAAAAGAATGGAGGGTAATGCAATAGTCTGCCCTTCTTAAGTAAGATAAAGTGGCTCACCCAGGATCACCACCTGCTTATATCTCATTGGTCAAAATTAGTTTGCTAGGGAATCCTTACTTCCAAGGAATTCTCAGGTCAATATCTTTATTTTGTTTAAGTTTCTATGTTGAAATAATTACAGACTCACAAGAAGTTGCAAAAATTATACCAAGGATCCTATGTAGCCACGATGTTGCATCCCTCAAAGGTAACATCTTACATAACTAGAGTACATCATCAAAATTAAATTTCCATCAATAGATCACAGTTAATTAGTCTGGATGACAGACCCTCCTAAGATTTCACCAGTTCTTGTGTACATTCAGTTTTCAGGTTCTTATATGTTCATGTATATAGTTCTGTGATGTTTTATCACCCATATAGATCTCTATAACTGTGGTCACAGTAAAGATACAAAACAGTTATATTCTCACAAAGGAACTCCAGGCAATGGGTCTTTTTAACTACAAACATTACAGTCCTGAACATAATCAGAGATCCTGCTAGGAAGGAAGAAGGAGAAATGGATTTGGGATAGGCAACAAGCAGTAACTGCCACAAAGGACAGCTATTTTTAAGAGAAGGAGTTTTCCATGATCTTGGATGTATAAACAGAGTCCATCCACCCCCATCCTTCCTCCTGACACATACACTCCTTTTGTTCTTTAGAAACTTCTCAAACAAATGCCATACGATTTAACTTATCTCATGCTGTAAGGCTGTAATGACTCCAGTGAGATGTGGAATTCAAGATTTCAAGAAACAGTAAATATATGTCTGAGTTCAATACCACTAAAAACACCCAAGAGACCAATGAAGGAACAAAGGGTTTTTGTTGTTATTGTTCTAATGAGAATAATTCCTTGACACAGGACCAAAAATCAACAAGTGGAGGGAAATGGAAAACCCAGAGTGTGTCAAATTGCATCATGTTTGGGCAGGGGGTTGGGGGTAAGAATGACCTCTTAAACAGAGGTTCAACCATTATTTGCAGTCCAATTCCAGAATTGCCTGAATAAGATCCAGCAGTTTGCTTACAATAGGACCTGAGGAACATTCCATGTTGTTCTTGAACAAGAAGGTTCTTAAAGTGGCAATAATGAGGAGAAATGAATATGAAGGTACACACAGAGAATGTTCACATTCCTAGTGGTATAAATATATTTTCCAAAAGGTACAAACATATGTAAGAAAATAGAGTCATTTACTAAGTGGTCTTTGCTTAAATGTTGGACAGAACAAATGTTCTGTCAAAACAAGGGCAAGCTTGATCTGATTTGATTGATTTGACTGGTGACTAATAAAGGCAATCTCATGATGTTCTAATACTTTATACAAGATTTTTTTCTCCCTACAATTGTTAGCTATTAGTGAGTCTACTGCAAGCCCTGCTAATATAATCAGCAATAGGCTGATTCGACTGTGGGAAAAATGGCCCCAGCTCAAGTAATGAAATAGCTACAGAGAAAGCAGCTTGCCTTTTTGAGCACATCTTTTAAAACACTGCATTTTTCACCACACTTGAGGTAGTCTTCAGGATAATGATGCTCAAGATGAATGACATAAGACACCAGAGTAAGCAGTGTAAAAATAAGAGTCTGGGCCAGGCCCAGAGGCTCACGCGTGTAATCTCAGCATTTTGGGAGACTGAGGCAGGTGGATCACCTGAGGTCAGGACTTCAAGACCAGCCTGGCCAACCTGGTGAGACCCTGTCTCTACTAAAAATACAAAACTTAGCCAGGCATGGTGGTGGGCGCCTGTAATCTCAGCTACTTGGGAGGCTGAGGCAGGAGAATCACTTGAACCCAGGAGGCGGAGGTCACAGTGAGCCGAGATCATGCCACTGCACTCCAGCCTGGGTGACACAATGAGATTCCATCCCCAAAATAAAATAAAATAAAATAAGAGTCTGGATTGAAACCCTAGTGGTCAGACATCAAGACAGCCAGCAAAAGTAACCAGATGGTGACACACATTGTTATATTCCAGCTCTCCCACCATTGAGAGATGCGTACATCATTTCTCTCTTCCTTCAACTCACTGTGGCCCTAGTTCTAGAACCTACCCTCGAGAGCTAAGAGTGATACATTTTTTAACGCACTCATTTCCTTTTATGTTGGAGGTTAGCTTCTGAGCTCAAAGATGCTAAAGATCAGAGAAGGCCAGAGAGCTAATGAGGCCTTCTCAAGTTCCAGGAGGTGGCTAAGCAAGCAATATACAAAAGCAAAGCAGATCAGTGTATCACAATAAGGAGTGGTAAGGACTGTGCCTGAGTATCATGAATGCTGTACGCAAATACTTAAAACTCACAATAAAAACATAATACAGAAAACATCAACAAACCACAACAATGTGTTTGCTGGATATTCTGAGGGGCAAATTCAATCTGGGATCCTCCACTATGTGACTTCTACCAGGTATAAGGCAAATATGAGACCCATTGCATTCTCCCAAAACTTCTCACTTTTTCTTTATTGAATAGCTTAAATCCAATTTTCTGCCATTCTCATAGTTCCTTCCAGTCATAAGCATTTTTGCAGTAGGTTTCAATGTTAGTATTTTATTATCGGTCTCTAATACAGGTTATTCACATTTCAGTTGACATACAAAGCCTGAAAGTCAACATGCTAATTAATCTTACAGTTTGGATACTGAACTGTGATGACCGGAATCATCAAATGGCTTCTGGTAAGTAAGTAATTCTGCCTAAGCACAGAATTGTCAAGTTCTGAGGGCTTGAGTTTTCTTGTGACCCAATTCTCAGAAGAGAAAATAGAGATTGCTGATCTTAAAAAGAAATCCTGTGTTTCACAATACAAAATAGGTTTTATTGATACTAAGAAAATATGAAATGATTAGTAGTACAGTGCTTTTTGTGATCAAAAGTCTTCAAATACAATTTTCTTCTAAAAGAATTTAAATTGTGTGCATCCTCATATTGAAGAGCTTCACCTAGCATCTCTATGTCACTGAAGAAGGAATACATATGATGATGCATATGATGATGTAGTGACCCATGTCTCAGACTGGACCAGGAAGGTATATTCTTGATATGGTAGATTAAAGATGGTTGCAAGTTCTTTATTCTCTTTCCATTGGGATGTGGACTTTAATTCTTCCCCCTTTGAATCTGCATTGACCTTTATGTCTTGCTTGAACAATAGAATGCAGTAGAAGCTACATTCTGGAACTTCTAAGACCCGGTCTGAAAACACTTTGCTACTTCTACCTGGATCTCTGGGAATATCAACTCCCTAAGAAACTTGAGCCACTATATGAGGAGTCTAATTGCACTGAGGCTGCCTGGCTGGATAGGTCATGTGTAGGCACTTTCTTTTATAGTCTCAGCTGAGCCCAGACTTCAGACCAGACCAGCCACCAGATTAATACCACTGAGTGACCCTAGTCAGTGCTTTGAGCAGCAGAAAAATTGTTCATAGGAGGCCTGCCAAAGTTTTGACCTACACAATCATGAGTAGAAGTGCTTGCTTTTCAAAGCCACTAAATATTAGACTAACTTTTATGGGGAACTGATGACTAGAACCCAGAATGATTTATAACATGGTTTAGTTCAAAGCTCATGGTAGAGCTACCTCTAAATAAGATAATGGCAATCACTAACATAATACTTATCATGTCCCTGGCACTGTGTTAAGCAGCACATTTGCTCCTCACAAAACTTCATAACTAAGTAGTAGTATAATTCATATGAGGAAACTGAGATACAGAGGATTATGTAGCATGTCCACAGTCACTCAGATAATAGGCAGCAAGGGTGAGATTCAAAGCCAGGCAACTCGGCTTCAGAATCTATGTTCTTAACACTTACATTGTAATTACAACACTCTTTTTAAGAAGTTAGTTTCCATTTACTCAACCCAAGCAAAGTTGTCCTAGTGTGCCCCATGAATCCTTTTTAAGAAGTCTGTTTAGGTTGACTCTTTGTTTTCTTTGCTTCACTTTGGACTACGCAATAAGCTTCGTGAGTCAGCTGTGGTGGCTCTTGCCTATAACCCCAGTGCTTTGGCAGGCTAAGGCAGAAGGATCGCTTGAGGCCAGAAGTTTGAAACCAGCCAGGGCAACATAGCGAGACACCATTCCTGCAAAAAAAAAAAAAAAAAATTAGCCAGGCATAATGGTGTGCACCATAATGCACACCATTATGGTACCAGCTACTTGGGAGGCTAAGGTGGGAGGATCACTTGAGCTTAGGAGTTCCAGGCTGCAGTGAGCTATGATTGTACTACGGCACTCCAGCCTGGGTGACAGAGAGAGACCGTGTTTCAAAAAAAAAGAAACAAAAACAAAAAACAAAAAACACCTTCACAAAGGGCCAGGCACCCTGGTGTGATGATGGAGGCAAAGGTCCCAGGATACCATACCACAGAGCCTGACTACACCACACAATACTCTATTTATAAGAATTCTCAGGGAAAAAAATTCCTTCCTGACATTTGGATCAGGAATAGTTACAATTGTTTCAAACAATTGGTTTGCTTCAAATAACTACTGGTACTTGGTTTAAAAATAAATATATGGTCTCACCGTATAGCATCTCAGATTATGGTTTTTTTTTTTTTTTTATTTCTCTTTACCTAGGCTCTGTATCATGACTCAACTCTTGCTTCCGTTTTGATTTTGCTCTAAGTCTTTCTATGTAATATTCTAAGTCTATAATTTGTGAATAGTTATAAGTTTTTCTAAACACATTTTGGAGGAAAACAAGGTATATATATATATAAAAATCAATGTTTTAAATGATGACTAACAAGATAGTTTTGAGTGCTTGTGCAAGTTGCAGAATTTACCTCTGGGTATTCTGATTTTGAATCTGAACTAGAAATGTGTGTGTGTGTGTACACATTATACCATTAGTCACCCAGCTAGAAATGCTTTCAAGTTTTAATATTAGATTACTTCAAAAAGTTCCTGGGAAAATATTCCACTAAGAGAAGATGACCCAGTGAGGAAGAAAAATGTTATAAACAACATTAGTTAGAATGCTCTTAGGTAAAAGAAACAAAAATACAACTAAGGAGGCCTATAATTCAAGGATATTAATTTTTATAAAACAAGAAAGTTGGAGGTAGACCCTTCTGGCGTTCACTCATCAGCTGCACCATGGTAGGGTAGAAACACGTGTCTCTATCATTCTCCTGGCCGTTCCTTGGGATGACGAGGCAGCTGCTACCATTTCTGACAGAACTTCGTGTGACTGCTTCCAAGGGCAAAAAGCAGAGGGCAGCCAAAATGTCAAGAAAGCTCTCTTTAGTACCCTGCTGCTTTTATCACCAAAATATCATTTTTTATACTGGCTCCAGAAGACTGCCTCTTACTTATGTTTGTTCGAAACTGGGTTGCATGGCCGCTCTTGGCTGCAAGGGAAGCCAAGGAGGTCAGCACTGGCTTTTTCATACTCTTTGCATCCTTTAGTGGAAAACAAAAAAAGCCCAAATGAGGATGGAAATGGTTGTTAGGCAGCCAAATATTGCTTTCTTACACAATAATTCAATCAAAAACACAGGTGATATAAAACAGTTAAAAATGGGTTTGCCAGGGAAATAGCTCATCAGAATCAAGGTAACCTTGAACATCTGGTTAGACTGTCTTGGGGCTGACCTGTTATATGTTAGTCTGGATTAGAAAACACATCCCCCCAAAATGTTAGTAAAATTCTCACAAGAATGTTCATGTTAACTTTTTAGTTCTTCCCAAGAGGAGATAGAAAAGCTATTGTTTAATCAAGTTTTGAGGACAGAGGAGTACTGGTTGTCAATAGTCCACAGGAATGGGTTACCTCTTAAGGTTGAAGGGCAGGCCAAGTACGCCAGTCTTGAGACTGACAACCTGTCTTTGTCAGAACAGCTCTGTTTTCTTCCCATGCTGGGTTTAAAAAAGCATTTAGCTGCTAACGAAATATCTAATAAACATGAATAATTTGTTACAGCTCTAGTGTAGCGTTTCCCAAAGTGTCATTTGCATCAGAATCTCCTAAAATCTAAAATTCAGTTTCCTAGATCCTGCACCAGGCCCATAAACTAGATATTCTGATTCCTAGATTTTTGCTAGGGCCCAAGTTTCTACATTTCAAGTAAGATTGCAAGGTTCGGCCGGGCAGGGGACTCATGCCTGTAATTCCAGCACTCTAGGAGGCCGAGGCGGATGGATCAGGAGGTCAGGAGATGGAGACCATCCTGGCTAACATGATGAAACCCCGTCTCTACTAAAAAAATACAAAAAAATTAGCCGGGTGTGGTGGCGGGAGCGTGTAGTCTCAGCTACCGGGGAGGCTGAGGCAGGAGAATGGTGTGAACCCGGGAGGCGGAGCTTGCAGTGAGCCAAGATCACGCCACTGCACTCCAGCCTGGGCAACAGAGCAAGACTCCGTCTCAAAAAAAAAGATTGCAAGATTTCTCATAACCCATACTGCCCTAAAAAGACACCTCTTTAAATAATTAGGGATGTGTACAAAGATTAAGATATAAAGATGATTGGTTGTTTTAAATTATATGTTTTTTATTCTTCTTTTCCTCTAAATTCTTGTGTTTGACATTTGGCATTGAAATTCTCTTAGAGATTCTGAAATTACATTTCTGGTTTCTTGTTGCTTGTGTCTATATAAAGGGTAAAATATTCATTGAAAATGTTATGTATAATTCACTTCTTGGCCTTTGCCAGAAATATTTTATTCCTTTCAGCAATGAGGCAATATTTTAGAATAATTGTTTTAAATGCCTGATGTGGTTATTTTCCCCCAGGAATTTAATTAAAACAGGCAAGCACAGACAAATGCAAATGTTTTGTAAATGGCTGAAATTCAGGTACTCCTTTATTAGATCACAGCACTGTTAAACAGATTAAATTTCAAGCATGGAGACTTTCAACATTGTTCTTGTGATTGCAAAGCGTTCAAATGCATTCCTTTGCACTAATAATGACTCTCTCCATTAATGCAATTGTTCTAGAAATTAAACAGACAGATCCTAAGTAAATTATAGTTTCTTTTTGTTTCTCACAGTAGTCGAGAATAAACTGAAGATTAAACTCTCTCGCATTAGTTTTTATATGGTATTGATTTTCAATTCAGAGGTAAAACTTATCCTCTCATACTAAAAAGCCTGTTTATAAGATCATTTTAATCTTCTTCTGAAAAGGTTTAATTTATAATTGTGTGCTCCAGTTTAATTGATCATAACAAACGATGCAAATGCATAAGTTATGCTTCAAAAATGCCCTTCATTACATGAAAAATTGGGACTGAGAGAATTCTCATACATTGACTTTCGGTATGTTTTCATAAGTCTTCTGGGAATGGTATTATATTTGAATAAGTACCCTCTCCCATTACAATGGAAGCATTAAACAAAAGAATGCGAGTATGGATTTCTGTCACTGAGGAAAGTCCACTAGACTCAACATGACAATCAAGAGCAGCAGCTTTGACTAATGATGGACAATGATAATTCTGTTCAGGCTTCCTTTCCCCAGTCTTTGCCTTCTTCTGATCCCCTGCCTTTCTTTCCTCCTTTTCATTCCAATTACTTTTAATCTCTTGTCAATCTTTAGAATTCCTTATACTTTGTGAATTTTAGGAAAATATCAAATAAATAAGGGAAAAATAAAACTTGAAATGGGTAGTGAGTTGCAGTGCATTGCAAGTAAAACAAAACAAAACAAAACAAAAGTAT